TTTTTTTTTTTTTTTTTTTTTTTTTTTTTTTTTGGTACCCTGCGAAATGCATAGGATGGACTCTCCGTTTAACAGAGGCACCACATCATGCAGGCGACATGGGGTTTCGGAACGACGAACAAGGAGGGCGCATGAGGTTAATGCCAGATTGTTGCACCTGACTTTGACCGACGTATGGGAAGAATGGAACCGTCGACAGTCTGGAGAATCCCTTTGTTCTCTGCGAGTCGTAGGGCCCTTGTTCCACTACCGGTAGTCGGCATTCTACATGTATCTGGACTGTGATCGGCCCGATACATTCGGACTTATTGAACATTTTGGATGTATTAGGAACACTACCACGCCGCGACACAGTTTAGACAATGTTGTAGGTGGACATGCAGGCAGCTGGCAACATGAGAATCGAGGCACAGCAGGCAACAATAACGCAGAGGGCGAGTGGGCAGGCAGGGCAGGGAAGTGGGAAGGAATTGAGGAAACAAACTTTAACGAAGCAGCAAAGGGCATGTAACAGCCAGGTAAACAGTCAAGCGAGCACGTGGGCAGGCAGGAAAGCGGGTTATAACAGGGCAGGAAGCACGACAAGCAAGCCAGTAAGCAGGCAGGCAGGCAGGCCGCACACTGCAGGGCAAGGGGGGCGAGGGGGGCAAGGAGGCAGCAAGACTGAGCAGCAGGTTGTCAAAGGCAAAACAAGCAAGTCGGCAAAGTAGTACAGCAATGCGAGGCAAGGTGATGGGCAGCCAGGCAGCATTGCTGCGCGGACAAGGCAGTCCATCACAAAGACACACATCGAAGCAGGCCATCATCTACTCAAAACACCACAAGTAGAACTCTGTGCACTGGAGGTTCATGCCACCGTCATCGCCAGGGAGTCACTTTGACAAATACCTGTCATAGATCAACACTGAACACGGACAAACAGGCCTCCCGAACACACCAGCCACCCTGACAGTGTTGCAGGGTCCACTAACAAACAGGTACCGGCCATTTGGCACATCTTGAGGGTGCTGCACGTAGTCACACTAGAGCACAGGCAAAGGCCAGATTGCCCACAAAGTACACATACTACACAAACATAAAGAAAATATCAGGATGGAAGAAAGAAAGTTATATACAATATGTGTGTGTGTGTGTGTGTGTGTGTGGGTGGGTGGGTCGGTGGCTGGGTTTAAAGTTTAAACTTTACCGAGCTGTGTGTGGGTGGGAGGGTGTGAACTTTTCAGAGTAATGTGGTTAGGAACAAGGCATTGATCTTCTCTCTTTTCTTTATCTGTTTATGTGGGATGAAACAGGTTCTTTACCTTCACAAACAGATTACACCGGCCATCATCCACAGAGATATCAAAGCAAGTAACATCCTGGTGGATCACAAGTATCATGGAAAGCTTGCCGACTTTGGGTTGTCCAAGCTCTTGGAGCCTGACGATGGCACGCATGTCTTCACCGCCATCAAAGGAACGAAAGGTGGGTGTGTGTTTGAGGCTTCAATCTGGACGACGCTATTTCTCGCGTCATCTTTGCATGCCGTCTTGTCTTTTGTCTTGTTTTTCTTTTTTGTTTTGCTTTCCCTTCTCATCTGGTTTGGTTTCTTGAACTTTCTTCACTCCTCATTTTAGCATTTTTTTTTTTGTTTGCAGAGCTTGATCTTTTTTCATTGTGCATCTGGTATCTTCTTTGCAAAGCACAGAGAGTGAATGTGAGCGTGCTAATTGCTCGCCAAACAATACGAAGCAATCGTCGCCGTTTCCGCCTCTAGGCACCCGCCCTTGGCCTTATCGTGGAGCCTTATCGTGGAGCCATGTCAGACAATATTATGCTGCATGCAACTAGAATGTTTGTTTGGGAAACAGACTTCGCTTACGAATCTCATCTCGCTTCCTTGCAGTTTTCTTTAAGGGATTAGCCTCAAGCCTTATTGTATATCGCGCAGGATTTGAACTCCTGATCCGTTTATCGACAGTTACATGTATGTGCCGTTCACTGCTCGGCCACCATTTATTGTTCAAGTATGTTTGCCAGGACCTAAATCCATGGCCACACGGACTCGAACCGGTGATCTCAGGCATAACAGCCGGATGTCTTAATCACTGCAACTCACTGCAGGCCACCATTTATTGTTTAAGTATGTTTGCCAGGACCAGTTTGGAATACTGTGTCACAGTTGGAGTGGTTAAGACATCCGGCTGTTATGGCTGAGATCACCGGTTCGAGTCCGTGTGAACCGGGGATCTCAGCCATAACAGCCGGATGTCTTAACCACTGCAACAGTGACACGGTGTTCAAAACTGAAGCCATAACGGTCGTTCAGCCCACCCCAGCACAGTTGCAGTGGAAGATACTCAACTGAACGCCCGGCGTCTCCACAGCACAGTTGCAGTGGAAGATACTCAACTGAACGCCCGGCGCCCGTCTCCACAACTGAAGCCATCCGCAGGCGCATTTCCAAACTCTTACCGCGCTAAGCGCCGTAACTCTAATGCCTTAACCACCACTTCCAGGTGATCTTCTCCTGGCAGCAGGTACAATCTGATTGCGCCCTAAATGTCTTGTTGCCAAATCGTCGAATTAGATTTTCACATTTTCTTGCATACGCTGGTTTGCTGACACCAGTTTGTCTGGGGAAAAAAAAAAAAAGGAAAAAGAGCATCACACTGGTGCTGCAGTGGTGCCATATCCTGCCTGAACCAATTCCTTCAATACCAATCACAGGACATTGTGTGCTCAACTGTGATCGACGAATGAGAATATTGCTACCCTCGTCCCCCGAACACAATGCACCGTTATGATGACTGCATTCGATATTTTGTGTACATTCATGATCTGGGTGATTAGTGTTCGGGGAAAGATGGTACCCTGTAAGTGGCAGGGAGTTCGTTTGCCTCCCCACTTCCCGGCGAGGTGAGGAATGCCACCAAGGATTGCTTGCTTCTTTAAACAGTCGGCACTCGCGAGGCTCTTTTTCCCGATGCCGATATCTGCTGTGTGGTGGGCACCAAGTTTCGTTGAACTAGCGCAGGCGCACAATCGAATATTTCTGGCTGGCACCGCCAGCCTTCTCGAGTTCGTAGGCCCTGCCGCGGAAAACAGTCAGCACGTTAACGGTTGTGTGTCGGACGGCGCTCTTTTGTTCGAGCCAGCTGCGGAAGACACAGTCGGAACAAGATAGAGTCGAGCCACACGGACTCGAACTGGTGATCTCGGAAAAGTATGGTGGCTTGGACTCTGTCGTGCACGGCGTTGTCCGCTTGAGTCGACTCGTTCATCCTTGGCGCATCTGACTCGACTCTATCTTCGATATGCAACTTGTGCCTCTTCATTGAGCCGAGTGTGAGCTACCGTCTTCTCACCCAAATAGAACGCCCGCCGCCCGGTCATTATCGCTGCATCTGGAACGAAAGTTGCACCACATACGGCTGTAATGACCAGGCGTTCTATTCGGGTGAAGATGGTAGTTGCACTGTGGGTGACTGGTGCATCTCGAGGATGGACCACGAGAACGGTCCATAAATTCTGCTGCGTCGTATATGCTGTCCAGCACCGCGGTGAGGGCTTTGTGTATGATTTTGTCTCCGGGACTTGCAATAAGATATAAGGTGCGAAGCGTGGGTGTGCTCGCTGTGATGGGCTCAATTTTGGACCACAGGATGCAGCAATCCCGACAGAATATGTCTCGGCCTTTTGGCGTAACTACGATGAATTGTACTGCTGTTCTGGTCAGTTTGATATCTGATCCATGGTCCATCTGGCCACGTGAAAAAGAGTGAAAAGAAAGTGGAGGTGCTGACAATCGATCACTTGTGTTATGGGTGATATGTGACGGTGCTTGGTAAAATTCTGTCTTTCTGGCTGTGATGGGTGCAATATGGCGTGTGCAGGATATGTCGATCCGGAGTATGCGGAGACGCAAGTCCTGACAGAGAAGAGCGACGTGTATAGTTTTGGGGTACTTCTTCTGGAGATCATAACAGGGAAAAGGCCAGCGGATATGGTCCATCGGAAAGAAAGAGGACGGCCCTCAGCTCCCAACTTAATTGAATGGGTATGTACTATGTGGTATGCACTCTGCATACAGTTTGTTACCGTCCCTCTCCTTGTCTGCAATACGACAAAGACTGCTTTGATTCTGAATCTATTCATCTGGGTGGAATTGGGGCTGTTGGGGGGGGAAATCACATGCACACACACACACACACACACACACACACACACACACACACACACACACACACGCAACCAGTTCTGCTTGGCCCACTGAAGCTCACCCAAGATTGCAAGTACAGGCCCTTCAGGGCCGGTCCGGTTGGCCCAACGGTCCACCAAAAACTGCAGCAACAATTGTCGGGGGTCCACCAGGCACTGGAAAATTGCCTGGGGATCCCCATTTTTTTTTTGAATTTTCTCAAAATGGGGCCCAACCGGACACCGGATCCGGACATCCAGACCGGACCTTCTGGATCCCGATCCGGACGTCCGGTTGACAGCCATGATATATACCAGTTAGGGGATTCTGCAGACTGTTGAGGGAGGGTTCAGCCTCCTGATGAGTCGGTGAAACTCGGACGAAACAGTTTGCCACAGCCCCTCGTTTGTTGTCCTCTTCTCCCTCTCTGCCTACGGTTTACCGGGCAGCCCTGTTTGAATATTCTGGCTTGT